TGTAAAAATTTATTGATGCTTTTGATTTTTTAAAACATCTTTTTTATTTGTCAAGTAAAAATTGCGAACAAAAGAGCAAAAAGAGAAACAAAAATGATATACATACACAAATGATAGTTGTAAAAGATTTTGAAAAAAAGATTTTTAAAAAGGCAAAACAAACAAAAATATTAAGAAATATATGAAAAGGGAATTCTGGTAGAACCCTCTCTCTTTTTCTCTCTCTCTTCCTCCCCATTCCCCCCTCTCCCCAGCCACTAATTTCTTCTTGAATATTTTTATACTTTGTTGTTGTTTAGTCATTAAGTCGTGTCCGACTCTCCGTGACCCCATGAACCATATTGCGCCAGGCCTTCCTGTCCTTCACTGCCGCCCTGAGTTTGCTCAGTTTCATGCTCATTGCTTCAGTGATGCTATCTAACCATCTCATCCTCTGCCGTCCTCTTCTCCTTTTGCCTTCAATCTTTCCCAGCATCAGGGTCTTCTCCAAAGAGATCTCTCTTCGCATTAGGTGACCAAAGTATCTGAGCTTGAGCTTCATTATCGATCCTTCCAATGAGCAATCAGGGTTGATTTCCTGTAAGATTGACTGGTTTGGCCTTCTAGCAGTCCAGGGGACTCTCAAGAGTCTTCTCCAGCACCACAGTTCAAAGGCATCAATTCTTCGGCGCTCAGCCTTCTTTATGGTCCAGCTCTCACAGCCATACATTACTACCGGAAAAACCATAGCTTTGACTATGCGGATCTTTGTCGGCAAGGTGACGTCTCTGCTTTTTAATATGCTATCTAGGTTTGCCATAGCTTTCCTCCCAAGGAGCAAGCGTCTTTTAATTTCATGGCTGCAGTCTCTGTCTGCGGTGATCTTGGAGCCCAAATAAATGAAGTCTGTTACTGCTTCCATTTCTACCCCTTCTATTTGCCAGGAATTGATGGGTCCAGATGCCATGATCTTAGTTTTTTTAATGTTGAGTTTCAAGCCAGCTTTTGCACTTTTATACCTTTTTAATATGCTATCTAGGTTTGCCATAGCTTTCCTCCCAAGGAGCAAGCGTCTTTTAATTTCATGGCTGCAGTCTCTGTCTGCGGTGATCTTGGAGCCCAAATAAATGAAGTCTGTTACTGCTTCCATTTCTACCCCTTCTATTTGCCAGGAATTGATGGGTCCAGATGCCATGATCTTAGTTTTTTTAATGTTGAGTTTCAAGCCAGCTTTTGCACTTTTATACTCCAGATGCCATGATCTTAGTTTTTTTAATGTTGAGTTTCAAGCCAGCTTTTGCACTTTTATACCTTTTTAATATGCTATCTAGGTTTGCCATAGCTTTCCTCCCAAGGAGCAAGCGTCTTTTAATTTCATGGCTGCAGTCTCTGTCTGCGGTGATCTTGGAGCCCAAATAAATGAAGTCTGTTACTGCTTCCATTTCTACCCCTTCTATTTGCCAGGAATTGATGGGTCCAGATGCCATGATCTTAGTTTTTTTAATGTTGAGTTTCAAGCCAGCTTTTGCACTTTTATACTTTACTTTGGACATTATTACTCATTTCTATTTGGATCATTTAAATTATTATTATTAAACAGTTTTTTCTTTTTTTTTCCAAAAAGCATATTCTAAGTGTTTTAGCTTGCTTTGCTGTGTGGTATGTTGTATATCAGGGAACCATTCTGGCTTGAATTTAGATAGGCTTCTGCTGTGAATATATGCAGTCAATTTTTCCATTGCCCTGTATTCTTCAATTTTTGTCTCCCAATCCTGTATAGATGACTTCTCTTTTTCATTGTTGTGTCAGATTGTTGCCACTGTAAATATATATCTTAATAATTGTGATGCTTTTCATTTGTATTCTCTGGGAGCATACCTAATAAAAACATTTGTGGAGTCCTTGGGGTTCTCTGAGCTTGGTTCTTTTCTTGCAAACGTTTCATTACC